CATCATCCAACGGTGTCAATGTCTAACTTCAACTAATCCACGAAATTGAGCAACCGTCCACCATTGTCTTCAGTGAGTATCTACTTCACAACTGACACGGTTGAACTCCACTGGTCACAACTTTTTACTAGAACTGCATGAAATCCATGTTGGAACTATTCACCAGTGAGCATATGATAATTATCAGTATATAGTATCGTGAATACTGTTGAGTTTAGAATGGTATCATGAATAGATCAATGTTTTCAGGTTTTCAATGGTGGTCTAACATTGATCCATTCATTATATCAATCTGTGAAATAGATTAGCTTCTTTTTTGTTTCTTTTTACTTTCTGGTCACCATTTAACTATTCACTATAAAATTCTGAAAAGAAAATTTATAAATTTGTAGAATCTATGGATATATTTTTTAAAAAGAAATTTCTTAATAATAATCAAAGAAGAAAATAGTATGTTCTATATAATAAAGATTCATAATTGATGGAATTGATTTTAATGGTATTTGAACTGGCAAATGTTCAACAATAATGATGATCCTTTCATTAATAAACTAAGCAAATATCATTAGTGTAAACTACTTTTTTTCTTTATACAATAAAAGCTTCTTCTTCATTCAAATTTAAATTACTTTGTGGATAAAAATTTCAATATTAGATAATGTAGACTAATGCGGCCCCCAAATGCTCTTACATGGCTACGCGTATATAGCCTCCACCAGGGAAGTCCTACACACTACCTTCTTGTAGCGGGGGCGTTGTTTACAAAATTGAGAGGGCGAAAAGCGAATGTCCGGCGCTCTAACCGGGTTGGTGGACATGGAGAGTCCATCTAGAGGAGTTGGAAAACCCTAATTCCAAACCAATGGTGAAAATGGGCTCCAGTACCCTTAGGGAACAAATAGAGTATGAACCAATCGTTGGTCACCGACTACAAGTTCATGTAATATCAATTCACTCAAACTGGTGAAACACAGTGCAACTTGGTAGAAAAAACTCGACCAGTACGAAAGGATTAAACAAACGTAATATTTGCCAATACTCATTGTCTAATCAATTGTAAATTGTCTGATGATAAGGAATTTTCATTCAGCCATTGTTCTTTAACCACACTAGAATGAATTCCTAAAGTTTATGTGGATCTTTTTAGTTTCCTTGCTATTGAATATTTGGAAATTTCATTACTTAAATGTAATGGTATACCATTTAGTTAGGAAGAATTCATGTATCAATTTGAAATGGATTGAATTATCCGGTTGTTGATATATTGGTTGGCATATGTGCATCTTGTGCAAGTTGCCTCGATGTAGCCAATTATGACAAAGGTTAGTATAGCATAAATGAAATATAGCTTTCAGTAGAATCCAAGACGCGCGTTTCATTCGATTTTGGGTTCGTCAACTGGATGTATCTACATTCCAGACTCGATGCTCGACTGGAACTTAGTATCGTCCGATTCAAATACCATCCTATTATCTACTTAGCTACTGAGTTCAGGTAGTCATTCACTTATGGAATAGGTATGAGTTTTAATCCATATTAAAGTGGATTAGATTATCTAATTTCTGATATTTTGACTGAATTTTGTATGATTAAAACTATCTATTTAATACAGAATAAAGTTTAATAAAAAACGAAATAGTTCAAAGCTTTAAACCGGCTCTTGTCGTCTGAAGTCTCATCAAAAATAATGTTAATGACATTGGTAACTACAACAAAAAGAATCGTTTAAATTTAGTAAACCTTGTCTCCTAAGCTTATAAATATTTTTTGTAGTTCATTAACCAAGTAAATATCATACTTCACATCATGAATTGATCTTAGTGAAATAACCATTAAAAACTAAGAAACACCGGACATTTGTTTAGTCATAAGTTAAGAATCAAGAACAGTGACCAGCTAACAACTCAGAATTTGATAGCGTCACAGCGAGCGCTTAACCTCCAGACCACTGAGCTGGCCTCCATTGGTTAACATTTGTTAATTATAATTAATTTGTGGTATTACTCAATCATCGTTCGATAACAACGTCATATCAGATATCACACATTCACTGGTTACTGATTCTCACGAAAACGCTCAAATTTGCCTCTCGAAGTTAGGCACTAATGAACACATGGTTAACATTAATGTAAGGGGTATGTGACGTTATGATATAAGATGACATATACATGAATTCTGGCCCTATGGTTTTACTATCTTGCTTTTAAAGATCGAATAGAAAAAAGAGGGAGAATAATCACAGTGTACTAGTATAAACCCACTTTTTATTTATGAGAAAAATATAAAATAATTAAAGAATATTATTAAGATACATATATTATTTCACTTGCTATTGTTTACTTAAAACTTCCCATTGATGGTTAGAACTGCAATTGGTCAGTCTCTTATTGGCATGTATAGATCGCTTCGATAGTGCCTTAATTCACAAGCATTCTATGCAGAGATGGGTAGTGGCTAACGATGGGATCCAGGAGTGAATATCAACTCTGAGATACAGGTATATCCATCTGACAAGTCCAAAATGGCATGAAACTCGCGTCTTCTATTCCACTGCTAGCCATTATCCATCTTTGCATACAAATATTATTATTTTTGTCAAAAATATCCTCTATATATTATAGTTAATGAATAGAGATAAAAGTATTACATGAAAAAGATCTTAAATATAACTTTGTGCTGATTATGTCTTTCAGAAGAACAATGAAAGCTCCACGATCAAACCATCCAGCTCAGAGAATATAACCCCATCAAAATCATTCACCTGAGCTATAAATCTCCACAATCTTAAATATAATTGAACATTATTTAAATAAACCAATGAAACAATTAATAAAATCAACATCGTGTTATATTTTATTTCAATAGTTGAGATCACGAGTCAATTGAATCTAGACCACCATGGATAACCTAAAGGCATTGAACGGCCGTTCCGTTCAAGTATGGTTTTCCTCAACTGTGCATGTCCACGATCACTCACATGGAACTCCAACCCACAACATTCCATCTCGCGCGTATCAACATTTATACTCTGCACTACTGAGCCTGTCGGCATCCAATGGTGTTAATTTCTAACTTCAACCAATCCACCATTAAAAACCTAGAGACAGAAGGTCCTGTGTTTGAGTCCCACATGAGGGATCGTGGATGCTCAATGCTGATAAGTTTTGTACTAGGATGAAACGGCCATCTAATGCTTCCAGGATTTCAATGGTGACTTAACATTGATTGATTCATGATATCAATCGAAATTCAACAATCTGCACAACCCTATAGTGATAATTCATGTTTTTCTAAAATCTAAAGTTTACTATTAGGACCTAAAACCGTTCTATTTAAAGGTGTACAGCTTAAAATAAAATAACTTTTAATTAAGAAAATTTTTTTTACCATTTAACACTCAAATCTCTTCATATAAATTATCTTACAGACTTTCTTCACCCTGTCCTTAGTATTTTTTAATAACTTTGTAGAACTCCACAAATTGCTATTCAACACCTATCAGTTTAGATTAGATAAAATCAATTTATAATTCAACCTAAAAGTAACCATTATATAAACAATAGATCAATTATTAGAAGAGGTTTTGTGGAGATTTTTAGAAATTTCAATAGTTGAAATCATGAGTCAATTGAAGCTAGAATACCATGAAAAACCTGGAAACACTGGACGGCCGTTTCTTCCTATTATGGGACTCCCCAACAATGTCCATCCACGATCCCCCGCGAGATTCGAACCCAGGACCTATCATTGTAGATGCCCACTGCTGAAGAGTCCCATACTAGGACGAAACGACCGTCCAGTGCTTCCAGGTTTTCCATGCTGGTCTAGCTTCGATTGACTCATGATTTCAACTATTGAAAAGATGAATTCTCAAAAATAGTCAATAAAATATAAACCCACATTATTATGTATTGTACATTTGTTACTCTGATATAAATGTGATATATTGACGAACCAATATGAAATATTCATATTAACTAGGACAATGTATTGTAGAGTAATTAGAGGCGGGAATTTATTAAGAAACTATGAATAGGGCAAAATGTGATTGGATATTTCAAATAGATAATCAAATAGATTATTTAAAACCTAATGAATTCAATGTAAGAAATTGATGATTCTTAATATTTCAAAGATTCAATATATTGAAATGTAAAGGTAAATGCTTACAGCTAACAGTGAAATTATTTACAGACAATAGTCAGCATTTGTGTTAGCTTCATTAAAACTATTGATTATTTGACAATATACCTGAAAAATATCATACATATATTAACGATATTCCTTTATGTTTGATACTTACCATGTTAATCGCAATAGTGATATTCAAAATGATTAACTTTTCATTATCACTTTCTGTATTCAACGACATGAAGATTGAAGACATTGACTATAAGGCATAAGGTTGTTTGAATATACCTTAAATTAGCTTTTTTATCTATTTTGATAGAGCTATGCCTTGAAATGAATATATGTAATCAGATTGTTTGAAATAGACAACGCAAATACATTGCTTTGTTTGGATCAAGTCCGTCTTCTTATTTCTCTAACGGTATATACTTTGATTTAAAGAGTATGTTTATGATGTACTAAATAAGCTTTGAATCTGCTATCATTCATATTCATTTTTGGTTTCTCACCGAGATTAAACCTAGATTCTCTAGGTTAAGTGGCAAGCAAGTTGATGTTGACCAAATAGATCAGCAAATAGAATATGACACAGAATACCATACTTACTGTTAACAACAATGTTATACATTAGAATTATGGTTTAAAATTTGATCAATAATTTTATGTCATTCCATTTTATTTTGTTTCATTGGATCTTCACCACATGAAATGTATCTATCTTGTGATTACTGTTTTGCATACATGTGAAATTTGAACAGATTCAAAGTCAATTATCGGTTCCTTTGATTGAAATAAATCTTCAAATGTAGTATACATATATACTCTAATTATAATGGGTAAGATATAGAGAAATGATACAATTTCGGATACTTTGAAAACAGATTACCATGACAGTATATATATATATATATATCATATTGTTAGGTTCTACTGTCATTTTGCGTATATATGTCTTCGCAACAATTGTTACGTATACTAATTTACAAATGATGATATGAACATCCAGTATGTGTATAGGTAATTTGATTCTGAGTAGAAAAACCATATTTCTTTAATTTTATTTTATTTTTTTCGATATGTGAACACATGTTTTAGAATCAAATTACAATTTTTACTAATCGGATTTACTGAATTAATAATAATAGTAGTAGATAGTAATTAATTGGGATCATTTGTCATAAAGATGATGATAATGATTAATACAGTGTTACTGTTATCAGTGATGATGGTGATAATGATGACAATGACAAAGGAATTGATAATTGAATTTACACAACCCTTATTCTTTTTACAATATTTAAACAGATGACAGTAATCAGTGACTACGTATCTCAATTAACATTTTGCTAATAGTTGTTACACTTTGAAGTAACAGATTACAAGTTATATATGTGTTACAGTTTCATATATACGCTAAAAAATGTATAATAGATTACTTAATGTATTAGAGGAACTACTCAATCACGATACTTGTGATTAATTTGACCTTATTTGTAATAGTAAATACTAAAGCTTATATATAAATACATATGATGATATATAACATCATTTTTCTTCTTCTAATTTGTATAATAAGGTAAATCGGTGCCAGAGTTTTTGTCTTCAAATGATATACTATTACTGTTACATTCATTACAAATTACAATCTGAATATATTTTACAATGGATAAATAAAAAAAGAATCTGTTCAATTATCCTTTGTGACCATTATGAATGAGCAGAGTTTTAGTCGCTACCATCATTCAACTAATTTAGATGAATGTCAAGAGAATAATAATGATGTTGATAATGGTCGTCCATTTGATAATGACTCATCTTTAGAATATCAGTCAAATAACAGTACACTATCATCATCATCATCATGTTATGTTAATTATGAACTACAAAGTAAGAATTATGATTCTGATGAAATTCTTGATTTGAGAATGCATAAAAATAAAATCTTTGACACTTGGCCATCAACAACAATATCTTCATCTTCATCCTTTAACTCGTTATTTTCCACAAATATAAACCATGATAATCATTCGTGTAGAATATCGAATTCAGAATTATTAAATAATCTAATTGAAATGAATAAACAACAACACATTGATGCTTTATTCAATCATCATTTAACTTCATCATTATCTTCATTACCAAGTACTACTACTAATACTACTACTACTACTACTACTACCACCACCAATAATACTACTAAGTTGAATACATTTTCAACTGCTTTAACATCATCAGTAGTATATGAAAAATTAACACAAACAATAACCACTTCCAATATTAGTCCTATAAATAATTTAATAGATTTTACCAATACACTATCAAAAACTATTCATACATTATCTAAATATCATTATTCTAAATTAAATGATCATCAACCAAAATCATTATCGAATATTAAACATTCAATTAATCATGAATTTCAATTGGATAAAATAAATTTTCTTTCAAATTTCCCATATTATCTTTATCGAATTTTTTCTACATCAAATATCATTCCTACTATTCAACAACTACAACAACAATCACACCAGCATCAGCAGCAACACAATCAAGAACGACAATCCTATAATTCTATTAATTCATCTTCAATAGATCCTTTACAAGATAATACAAATATTTCATATTCATTATTAAAACCATGTATAAAATTTTCTAATATGAATTCAATCAATCAACAATATGCAACATCATTTGAATTATCAATTAATTTTATAAATTGGTATCATCAATTTATGCAAAATTTACATCAATTATTATTAAAACAACAATTCAAACAACAACAACAGAAGTATGATCATCATCCTCAACAACAACAGCAGCAGCATGATCATCATCATCATCCTCCTCAACAACAACAAGATCATCGACAACAACAACGACAAATTGATCATCAACAAAATGATCAAAGTTTAAAATGGATTAAAAAGGAGACAAATGAATTCAATAAAGAATATCAAATTAGTTTAAGTTCATTTAATTTACATTTAGATAAAGAGAAATATTATCAAAAGATAAATAATTCAACAGATCATTTAAAAGTCAATAAATATGATACATCAAATGATGAAAATTTTTCTAATTTTCAATCAAATCAAGGTGATGATTGTAATATACATATTTATATATCAGAAGGGTTTTTGTGGATATATTGTAATTTCACTGGTTGAAATCATGAGTCAATTGAAGCTAGACCACCATGAAAAGCCTGGAGGTATTGAATGACCATTTCTTCTTATTATGGAACTCATCAGCATTCACGATCCTATCTTACGAGATTTGAACACAGGATCTAACTGTATCGCATGCGAGCACTTAACCACTAGACCACTGAGCCGGCAGTGGAGTTCAACCGTGTCTGTTGTAAAATAGTAACTCACTGATGACAATGGTCCATGTGTGGCTCAATTTAGTGGATTGATTGAACTTAAACATTAACACCGTTGGATGCAGACTCGGTGGCCTAGTGATTAAACGTTAGCACACGAGACTGATAGGTTCTGGATTCGAACCTCGCGAGGTAGTATCGTGAATGTGCACTGCTGAAGAGTCCCACAATAGGTCGAAACGGCCATCCACTGTCTCCAGGTTTTCCATGGTGGTCTACATTCAAATAACTCACGATCTCAACCATTGAAATATATATATAACATTAATCGTATTTTTATTCGTACATAGATATATTCCCCCTATATTAAATGATTGGAAATGATCATTCTGAAATTTCATATCTAGATTTCATACTAGTTGGTATATTCTTGCCTACTAAATTTGCAATATTTTGAGAGAAATAATACTTCCTATGAGATTTGAAGTTAAGTAACAAAGTTTTCAAGTCTTAATACTAAAGTATTAAACAAACATGAGTGAGACTACAGTTTATAGACGACCTTTGAGCGGCGTAAAATAACCTTGATCATGTTCACCTACTTATTAGAGCTACATAATTGTTATAAACCAGTGTGAGGAATTAAGATTATGATTTTCAGTTGATGCTTAGTATTAGGAATTAGATTTAGGGTTTTCATCACGAAATGACATCAGCTAAAATACCGAAACGTTATTTTGTTCAAATGGATAAATGAATTTCGCGCCGAAATTCAAAACCTGTTATCCAAAATCTGATTGGTTAGCCCATAAATTATAGTCTGGCCTAAACATGATGTTAGTAGTTACTCAATGGTCAATTAATGATGAATATTTCATTATTTCCAATTGATAAACAGCTTATTTATGATATTAATATGTCGTATTTGAATTAATGGTTACCACTTATTAATTATACTATATATATATATATACAAGCGAATGGTGTATCTAAAACTAATATTCAAGATTTAAACTAAGTATACTACAAATGTATCCTTTGTTGACTGGCTTAAATGAATTCCTTAGAGCAAAACATTAAATTACCTGACGATAAACTTCCAAAGTATAGTGTTGTACTAAGGACATTAAAAGAAATCATATTTAATTACCTAAAAGATTTTGATGCAGAAAACTGGTCGATTTAGAGATAGTTTTTATCACCAAATGAGTGACACTAATTAAATAATTCCTGAATGTTTGAAAACAGTAAATGGTTGTTTAGTTCTGGATTGGAGCCATTAGGCAATTCTTAAACTTAATCTCATATAGGGTTGGACTAGAAACAGTAGGTAGTTTACACCACGGACTGTTTGTAACGAGACAACCGTTGAAAACTAAAAAGCACTGGATCGCTATTTCGTTCTCGTATGGGGATCTTCAGAATTGAGTAACTATGAACCTGCAGGGGACCAAACCTGAAAACTAAAGAACCCATTGTGAGCGCTTAAAATCCAAACGGCGAGACTCTAATTTATGGACGACTTTTGAACGAACCTTACGTGACCTTGAGAAATATTAACCAATCAACAAACATTCAGTATAGAGTAAAAATATGTTATACAAAACCAAGGAAATAAAGTGGATACACTTCTTATACGTGGTTCAAAAACTTATCAAAGTTAGAAAGAGGTTCAGAGGTTCTAAAATCGTAATGCATGCAGTAGAGGAAATCATCCATACGGATACAGAATAGTCGACCTATGGATTCATGATAAAGTCTCAAATACTCTTTCAGCCTCGACCACATAGCTTCAATATTGTTTATATGCACTCCGGTTGTTGAGTACACAAAATGCTACTTGTGGATAACAACACGATGCACATAACCAAGCCTATGTAGGAGTCTGTACGCTCTCCAAACATCTGTATATGTTGTAGTACCTGACTGCAGCCAGTGTTACTGGTGCTTTTATTATCCAGTTCGCAATGATTGTCGTAATTTGCCATATTTAGGAATTATATATGAGGTTTTCATCACGAACTGACATCAGCTATAATTCCAGAAATTTATTTAGCCAAAATCCGAGATCATTATCTTATACCTGATTGATTCGTCCACAAATTATAGTTTCGTTGTTTTATTTGTTATAGCCGCTCAATTATCACGTTTTCTAAAAAAATTCCCTGTGAACCGATCGTACGTTAGCATTAAGCACTAAAGTTGGCGCCGTAACCTTGAAATCTCTAAAACGCTTCTGATTGGCTCGTCCATAAATTAGAGTCTCGCCATTCAACCAGTTGACCAGAAACCCCTTTGTTCGAATATTATTGTTTAGAATAAATCTCGATCTAGTGCAAATGTTGATTAATATTGCTGACCTTAAACCTACTCCTATTTTTAATTTGTTATACCACATAAGTCACAGCTTTCTCTACGGTAAGAAAATGATTCCAGAAAGATGAATAGAAAGTCAGTTAATTTAAAGGGAAATAATCTATTATATTAATTCAGTGTTTTTAATTTACATAGATATTCACTGATCTCTCGTTTATATGATCAATGAAATTTTATATGCTATTTTTCATGACTCTGAACCATAGTATATCTCAGTCAGAATAATGTAAAATCCAACGACATTTAAACTATCAGAATTAATAACTAACAAATTTAATGGTTTAATTATAAAAAAAGACATGAAGAAGCCTACTATTATCAACAGAATCAACCTAACCCCTCCTCCCCCCAAAGAAAAAGGAGATGAAAATAGTTAATATTAGTAAAATTCATTTTAAGATAATACAACGGCTGAAATAATTTTATATTCTAAGAACAAAAAAGTTTAGAATTTAAGTGTAATCGTGAACCTTTAACAGTTTTTTTTATTAATTTACAATTGAGTGATCAATCGGTGGTGATCAATGTCATGTATGTCAAGTCCTTTTTAGTGCAGATCGAATCTTATTGATCAAGTTGCAATGTAGCTACTAGTCTAGGTGATTCAACGTTACGTGCACTATGTTGAGATAAGCTGGTAGTTGAAGGTAGTCAACAGGAAACCCTGGACCTAGGTTTCGCACTACTTGGCACTCGTTAGGAAGGTGTACATGTATTCTTGAAAGAACTTATGCTCCTTGACGAATTCGATTGCGTGTCACCCAACTTCACAGTCAGAGACGTTACCACTGGGCTATCCGCGCCACGACTGACCTCCTATAGGATTGAGATGTATTTACAATTGATTGATCGCTGGGTGATGATCAATGTCATGTATGTTAGGTCGTTCTTAGTACAGATCGAATCCTATTGACCAAGTTTTTTTATTAATGACAAACAACCATAGTGTACTTATCAGAAAGTTTATCTACATATTAGAAATGAATAACAGTGTGTGTACTTTTTTTCCTTCACACCGTTTGTGATCTAACTTTACTATGTTCGAAGTTATCTGAATTTCTTAAAAATGATAGGAATGTCAAGTTATAAATTAATGATAAATAGAGGCTTTTATCAATATTCTAAATAAAGTCTCCTTTACAGTATGAAGTAATGAATCAAATAGAAACAAATGTCGATTGGTACCTTGTTCTAATTAATTGGTAACTAATAAATAATAAGTTGTTTTTCAAATTGATGAGATCCTGTAAGCTATTGATTTAACTATTAAATAAAACGTTTGAAGCCTAAGATAACATAAAGCTTAGCTAATAGTCTATATACTTGCTGTTATATCAATTTCATTTATTCATAAACATTTAAAAGTAACAGCCATAATACCCTCCGTCGACTTGTTCACAAAATAAATAAATATTAATCTGGAGGTTTCTTAGTCTTAGTCAATTAAATCTTGTTTATAATCAGAAAGGGGTTTTGTGGATATGATAGTGATTTTAATAGTTGAGATCATGAGTCAATTGAAGCTAGACCACCATGGAAAACCTGGAAGCACTGGACGACCGTTTCGTCCTATTGTGAGACCTTTCAACAGTACGCAACAATGATCCCGCCTAGCGAGACTCGAACCCAGGAACTATAAGTCTCTCTCGCCGACGCTTAACCTCTACACCACTAACGGTGTTAATGTCTAACTTCAACTAATCCACGAAATTGAGCGACACATGCACTATTGTTTTCAGTGAATTACTATCTCACAACAGACCCGGAAGCACTGTGCTTCCAGGTTTCCTATGATGGTCTAGCTTCAATTGGCTCATGATTTCAACTATTGAACTTACTATAATATTCACAAAAACCCCTTCTGATAATACTTAACATATGCTTAGAAGTGACTGGCCCCAAGAGGTATTTCCTGGAGTTCTAGTGAGAAGTAGTGACCAGTGGAGTTCAACCGGCTCCATTGTAAGTTAATAAATCCCCGAGGACAATGGTGGATGTATCGCTCAATTTGGTGGATTAGTTAAAGTTAGACACGAACACCGTTGAATACCGACAAGCTCAGTGGTGTAGAGGGTAAGTGTTTTATTACGCGGGAGACCGAATGCTGTGGATTGGAGTTCCACGTGGCAGATCATGAACATGCACTATTGAGGAGTCCCAAAATAAGACGCAAACGGTCATTTAGTGCTTCCAGGTTTCTCATAGTGATCTAGTTGCAATCGACTCATTTGTTTTTATTTTGTTTTATTTATTTTAGATGAATTACCTATTGATTCATGTTCACAAAAATGGATCATTTATCAAAATGAATCAAATCTTTTATCTGAACAATCAACATTTACTAAATCAATAAATGATAAAATCAATACAAAATTATTCAATAAATCTAAATTATCCTATTCTATTAATTCATCACTATCATCATCATCATCATCTAATCCAATTCATTATTATCGTCATATTTATCATTATCATCATAATCAACAATTAATTAATAATCGTATTAAATATAAATTACAATTAAATAATAATAATAATCATAATATAAAAATCAATAAAAATTCTAATTTATTATATCGTTATCAATGTCCACATTGTAATAAAGAATTTCCACGTTCAGCTAATTTAAATCGTCATTTACGTACACATACTGGTGAAAAACCATATCATTGTGAATATTGTCAAAGAGGTTTTAGTATATCATCTAATATGCAACGTCATATAAGAAATATACATCAACGTGAACGTCCATTTATATGTACAATATGTAAAAGAGCATTTGCTCAAAGAACTAATTTAGATAGACATAAACGTAATCATTGGTTACATAATTCATAAAACTTATAAAATGTATATTTATTCATTTATTTATTCAATTCGAATCAACATTATTTTCTTGATTATTTTGTTTGTTTGTTTGTTTATTAGTCACTTTTGATTGTTGAACTTTGTAAGATGATTTCATGTTCATATTGTTCATGATATTTTCTTTTCTTTTTAAAAAAAAAATAAACAGTAACAAAGAATGTTGATCTATTTACTTTTGAGATGGTGAAGAAGATTTGTAGCTCAGGTGGATGATTTTGATGGAGCTTTGTTCTCTGAACTGGATGATTTGATCGTGGAGCTTTCATCGTCCTTCTGAACAATATCATCAGCACAAACTTCAGACAGAAGTGAAGTGTTCGGATTTCTCCATATGCGTTTCACAGCTTGTTTTGTACACCTCGATGTCGATTGGTTCTTGTTGACCTTAAGTTTGTCATTGTTTACTTCTTTGTTTTGGTTGTGTCTCCTATTAGTTTGATTTTTGTTCCTATATTTGTGCATGATTTTCCTGATTGATTGATAAATTGGATTGATTTCAATATTCTGATGTTTTGGAATTTCCTCTGTCCAAGATTTTCACATTTTTCCAATCGAATGAGTGTCCGCAGTTGTCCACGTGTATTGATAAAAGTGAGGAAATATCATAGCGTTTGACTACTAATTGATGTTCATGTAGGCGAAGGTGAAGAGAGCGTCCGCTTTTTCCAATGTAGTGTTTTTCACAGTTGGCACAATTTATTTTATAGATGATGTTATATTTGTTTCTGGAGGTGTACAGAACAAGCTGTGAAACGCATATGGAGAAATTCGAACACTTCACTTCTATCTGAAGTTTGTGCTGATGATGTCGTTCAGAAGAACGATGAAAGCTTCACGACCAAACCATCCAGCTCGGAGAACAAAACTCCATCAAAATCTATTTACTTTTATTAACAATTTTAATGATTGAATAGATATTTGAGGTTATTCAACAGGAAATCTATATTGTATTCTACACAGTTTGTTCACTTAATGAATAAATGAAGTGTATTCAATCATAGATAGTGGCTAGCAGTGGAATCCAGTTTGATACGTCTTTCGTTCTGTTTGGGACTCTTCAGCTCGAAATATATGCATCTCAGAGTTGATGTCCATTCTAGGAGTTAAACCCAGTATCATTCGCTTCAAACGCTATCGCGTTATGTACTCAGCTACTGAGTCTTGATAGTTATTTGCCTGTGTAATGGGGTGAATTTAAATTCACTTGGTATGTCTCAAATTAACTCGGCGCCCAAATATTGTGAAACTATTCGTTCAAATTTAGACGAAAGTTCTTATTCACTTGGTATTGTTTGCTTGAATCTTCCCATTAAGGTTTAAGACTGCAAATGATCAGTCTGTTATTAACATATGTGCATGCTGTGCGTATTGCCTCGATATTACCTTAATTCACAAGCTTTATAAACAAAAATAACAGACTGATCAATTGCAATTTTAAACCTTAATGGGAAGGTTCAACGAAATAATACCAAGTGAATGTATTCAATCATTTCTGAAATAATTTCCCTTTCAATTTACGTCATTATCTTCATGATAATTTTTTCTATCTGATCAGTCTCATTGAGTTATATCTAATTTACTTATGGTAGACTTATATTTCATAGGAACATTTGTAAACTGAAAACATTGGAAATTGTTGTATTTAGCCAAATATAAAGTATTTATACAACAATCTGTGGAGTTTTGCGATTACGGTAGTATAAAAATAGTTTAGAAAATTACTATTAATTTCCTAAGCACTCTGAAGGTAAACCCTAAAATAGCTGTCTTAGTTAATATAAAACAATGTCAACGTGAAAAATGTTATGCAAATAACACAGTTACTGTATATTGAAACAACAGAATCCGTAATAACATCATAAGCGATTAAACAATGAACAGCGAAATATTCAATGTATAATAGCAGTACTCAAAAATCTTGCCATTAAAAGATCTGAAGTTGAAAATCGGATATTTTCCAGAATATAACTTCAGCGTAAATAAGTAATATTATGTAGAATTGTTTATGTAAAAAGAAATGACCTTTTGATGTTTATATTTCAAGTTGTACTCAGTCCTGAAATAAACCTGTTGTTAGTTATTTGAAAATTCAATTATTTCTGAGTATTTTTTTATCGAAATCATGAATCGATGAATGTTAGATTACCATTGAAAACGTGGAATCATTAGGTGGTTGTTTCGTTCTAGTATGGGACTCCTCAACAATGCGCATCCACAATCCAACACGTGGGACTCCAACACAGGACTTTCTGTCTCCAGCTTTGCAATGGTGGTCTGACATTCATCCATTCATGATATCAACCAAAATTCAACAATATCCACAACCCTATACTGATAATCATCATGTAAATAGTTTCAACACCAATTTCATGCAGTTCTAGTAAGAAGTTGTGACCAATCGAGTTCAACCGTGTCAGTTGTGAAGCAGTTATTCACTGAAGACAATGGTGGATAGTGCCTCGATTTCATGGATTAGTTGAAGTTAAACGTCAACACCTATGAATGCCGATAAGCTTAGTAATGTAGAAGTTAAACGTTAACATAAGAGACTCATGATCCTGGGTTCGAGTCCCACATGGAGGATCATAGATATGCACAGTTGAGGAGTTCCATATTAAAAAAAACAGCCATCCAGTCGAAATTATAAAATTTATTCTAGAAGTATACTTTATGAAACTTAAGAATTTTGAAATAAAAGTATCCAATTAATAATCAAATGAATAATCTTGAATTAAACGTTGAAGTATATTGTATCCTCTTTGATTTATGAATATTTAAACTGAAGAATATTTTAATGAAATTAAGAATATCGATAACCTATAATGAGATTTAAGCACATTTTTGTGTAGGGTGTTTTAAAGTTCATTATATAATATAAATCGACATATATAAACTCCATTTCATATGTTTCTTTCTAGGAACTAATTCTTACTTCTTGTATTATATCCTTATATGTCATCTTTCTTTTATATATAAATATTACTACCGATGAAGGAACTACTTCTATGAATTTAGTGTTGATCTTGATGTGATAATGAGGTATGGCAACATGGACCGATGTATATATGTGCCTAATCCTACAATGTAGCTAACTGACTGATATATATATAAACTAAATAAGAAGTTTCTTTCTTTCTTTCTTTCCAACATCTAAAGAATTTGATAACATAAATTTAATCTACAAAACTATCCTTATTGTTATTCATTTTCATTAAATTGTGGAAATTCGCTTAATCAATGAAGTTATATATGTTGAATGAAAACAAGTTAATGCTTTGACATTACGTTAGGAATTTGAAGGTATCTGGTGTTACAATTAACTCCGCCTGGAGTCCCTCCGGGGGCTACTGCCGGTCCCAAGCCCGGATAAAGGAGGAGGGTTGGGCATGGGTTAGCGTCCCCATCCCGTAGAAAACTAACTCACTAAAAAAAACGCTAATCAGAAAAAATTATTCAAACCTTTTAAACTCTGCCCAGGGAGTCAGAAGGTCTTCATTTAGAAGAATTATGACGCCTCATGATGAAAACCGAATTCCTTCGGAAGTTACGAGGCCGATGCCCCTTCTGACAACCAGAGCGACCATTTATTTAGGTACATGGAATGTTCGTACAATGTGGGACACCGGGAGAGTCTTCCAAATTGCTGCAGAAATGAGAAGATACCTAGAGGTACTTGGGATCAGTGAAACACATTGGACACAAGTTGGACAACAGCGACTAACTACAGGAGAGCTCCTGTTATACTCCGGCCATGAAAGAAAATTCCCCATACACAAGGAGTTGCATTGATGCTGACCAAACAAGCGCAAACTGCGCTTATAGGATGGGAATCTCATGGAACAAGGATCATCAAAGCCTCCTTCAAAACAAAGAAAGAGGGTATTTCAATGAACATCATCCAATGCTATGCGCCTACCAACGACTACAATGAAGACGCTAAAGATCAATTCTACAATAGGCTGCAGTCAATCATCGAGAAGTGCCCAAAAAGGACCTGACCATTCTGATGGAGATTTCAAAACCAAGGTTGGAATGGACAACACCGGATATGAAGACATCATAGGACGACACGGACTGGGAAAAAAACGAAAATGGTGAGAGATTCGCAAACCTATGTGCCTTCAATAAACTGGTCATAGGCGGCACCATATTCCCACATAAACGCATACACAAAACAACATGGACTTCACCGGATCACACCACGCAAAACCAAATCGACCATATCTGCATCAACAAAAAGTTCAGGAGGACGATGGAAGACGTGAGAACCAAGAGAGGAGCTGATATAGCATCAGATCATCACTTATGGTCGCCAAGATGAAATTGAAACTCAAGAAGTACTGGACAACGGGGCGGACAATATCACAAAAGTTCAATACGGCCTTTCTTCAGGATACTAACAAACTCAACAAATTCAAGATAGTCCTCAGCAACAAGTTCCAGGCCATTCATGATCTACTCAATGGAGAAGGAACTACTGTGGAGAGCAACTGGAAGGGGATCAAAGAGGCAACCACTTCAACATGTCATATCCTGGGTCACAAGACCCATCACAAGGAATGGACCACTGTTGATACACTGGATAAGATTTAAAGAAGCACAAGAAGGCAGCAATCAACACCATCGAACAAGATCAAAAGCCAAGGCACAAGCTGAATACACAGAAGTTAACAAACATGTGAAGAGGAGCACATCAACCGACAACATAAATATGTGGAGATTTAGCAATGACGG